GCTGGACCCGGTAAAGGCATGTTTTTGCCTTTGCCAGCCCCGGTGTCCCCCTCAAACCCGACCTGTCCTGGCCGTTTTTTTGTCCCTCCCAGGCCCCTCCTCCTCTTGACCTCGGAGTCTCGGCCCTTCTCATCCCGCCGCCCCTAAACAATCTCAGGAGCCCCCTCGCGCCCTCCCCTCCCGCCTCGTCTCCCCAGCCCGGGTCTCCCTCCCGCCCCCAGGCTCCCACTCCCTGAGGTGTTTCCACACCGCGATGTCCGACAATGGCAAAGGCAACGGGGAGCCCCACTACATCGCCCTGGGCTCCGTGGACAACACGCAGTTCCTGCGGTTCGACAGCGACTCCCCGGGCCAGAGGATGGAGCCGCGGGCACCCTGGGCGGAGCAGGAGGGGCCGGAGTGCTGGGAGGGGAGACGCGGACAGCGGAGGCCAACGCGCAGACGTTCGGAGAGAACCTGCGCGCCCTGCGCGGCTCCTACAACCAGAGCGAGGCCGGTGAGCGAACCTGGGCTCCGGGCGTGACCCCCATCCCCACTGACGGCGGGTAACCCCAAACTCCACGTCCGAGCAACACCCGAAGCTGGTGGGCACCCCGTACCTCGATGGGGAAGAATCCGCGGGACTTTGTTCAGGGGTTTTAGTTTCATTAGCGGGTTCGGGGGCGGGCGGGGTGACGCGTGGCGATGCGGGGTGACGGGGCGGGGACAGGCTCTCACACCTTCCAGAGGATGTCTGGCTGCGAACTGGGGCCAGACGGGCGCCTCCTCCGCGGGTACGATCAATTCGCCTACGACGGCGCCCATTACATCGCCCTGAAACGGGACCTGCGCTCCTGGACCGAGGTGGACACGGCCGCTCAGATCACCCGGCGCGAGTGGGAGGCGGCCGCGGAGGCGGATCACCTGAGGAGCTACCTGGAGGGGGCGTGCGTGGAGTGGCTGCTCAGACACCTGGAGAACAGGAAGGAGACGCTGCAGGGCTCGAGTAAGGTGCTGCAAATCCTCCAAGGGCTTCAGCTCTTCCTCAGGGTGACACCCCAGGGGAAAATGGAGTAATGGTCAGAACACACACCTCTTTCTGGTCAGAGAGGGAGGAGACCTCCTGGGTTTCCTCTTCTGTGCTAGAGACTCGCCCCAGAGCCCTACTTTTACGAAGGACAGTTAAGGAATCCAGCCTCTCCTGAGCTGGAGGGGATGGACCATCCCTGAACTCACCTTCATCTGATCCCGTTGACCCCGCAACCATCTTGGGAACACTCAGTTTCTCACTGTGTCTTGTTTTTGGAAAAATTAACATTTTCAGATCTGACTCCAGCTTTTCTGAGTCCCCAGGTCAGGAGCATAAGACCATGTTGTCCACCTTGGAGACCTGCATCTTCCTATCCTGAGCTCTTACCCTGATTTACCCGTTCTAAAAAACAGATTATCCCAGACTCCCCCGGTCAGGATGGTTTATAGGTTTTGTGCTTCCTCTTCCAAACCCACTTCCCTGTCTATTCTGAGGATGGTCACATGAGGGTCAGTCCCATGAAGGAAAATCCAAAGTGTGAATGTTCTGACCCTTCTCCTCAGATGCCCCAAAGACACAGGTGACCCACCACCCCACCTCTGACCATGAGGTCACCCTGAGGTGCTGGGCCCTGGGTTTCTACCCTGCGGACATCACCCTGACCTGGCAGTGAGACGGGGGAACTTGATCCAGGACACTGAGCTGGTGGAGACCAAGCCTACTGGAGATGGAACCTTCCAGAAGTGGGCTGATGTGGTGGTGCTTTCTGGAGAGGAACAGAGATACACATACCATGTACACCATGAGGGGCTGATGGAGCCCCGAGTCCTGACTTGGGGTAAGGAGGGAACATGGACAGAGAGGAATCAAGAGCCTTTCTGGAGAACCTCAACTGGCTCAGGATGGAGGCCTGAGTGATAGGTTCTCACCTTCACTTTCCATTCCAGTGCCCCCTATTCCGCTCACTGTCCCTACTGACCCCAACATGGGCCTCATTGCTGGCCTGGTCCTCCTTGGAGCTGTGCTCACTGGAGCAGCAGTGGCTGCAGTTGTGATGTGGAGGAAGAAGCACTCAGGTAGGGAAAGGAGTGGGGGATTTTGTCCACTGGGGTCTTTCATGTCCCAGAGAGAACTTGTCCTACCTGGTAATGGGAAGTACCATCCACACAGTGTGTGACCAGTATGGAGTAAATTGCTACTCCTCGCTCTTTGTAAACCATTTATGAAAATGAATCACCACTTGTTCACCTTGATAATTCTGGTGATGGGGTTCTGACTCCCAGCAAATGTCAGAGGGGAAGGTACCTGCTGAGGACAGACTCCAGGAGGTGGTTGCTCCAGCCTCCTCTCATCTCCTTTCCTCATATTTCCTGGCCCTGCCCAGGGTCTTCAGTCACATTTCTGGAACATTCCTTGTGGCCCAGATTAGGGGATTCATTTAAGACTTCATGGCCTGACTCCTTTGTGGTCTCACAGGATATTTCTTCCTCCAGGTAGACAAAGAGGAAGCTACACTCAGGCTGCAGGTAAGTGTGGATCAAGGGTTTATCCCTGAGCCTGTGGGGACAGTGTAGATGGAGCCCATGGGGGAGTCACCCCCATCAGTCCCTCCTGTGGTCTCATCTCTCATGGCTCTGACCAGGTTCTGTTTTGTTCTCCTCCAGGCAGTGATAGTTCTCTGGATTCTCATGATTCTCTGCTAGCCCCTAAAGGTGAGACCCTGGGACCTGCAGTGGGAGGGGCTGGGGCAGAGAGGATGGGACCAGGTGATGGGGAAGCTCTGAGGGGACATTCTGAGAATGCGGTGGACTATCGAGAATGTCGACACTTCCCTAACGTTGTTCATGATCATTTTCCTTCACAGTGTGAGACAGCTGTGGGGACCAAGTGATGCAGGATTTCTTCTCATCTTCACTTCATGCCTTCAACATCCATTGGTTTTCTTGTTGCAAATGGCCTATGAATGATTCTGTCTTTTAATTGATAATGTAAAGAGGTGGGGAGACTGGGCTGCTCATGTCCACCAGGACCCTGCCCGCACTGACCTGTGTTCTGTCTCTGATGACTTTATTGCTCCAGCAGGGGCGGGGCTGACTCCCACCTGCCTGTACTTTGTGTTTTCCTGAGGAATAATGTCCACTTCCCAATTGAAAATACTATTACAGCTTTGAAGTTATTTTTCTTACCTTGTCATGTGGGATTGATGGGTTCAGTAGTGGTGTTACTAAAATTTGTGATTACATAAATCAGAGGCATGAGGACCAGCCCGAACTGCAGGTTTGCTGTGCTGAGCCTGTGTAGGTGGGGCTGGGAGAGGCTGTGAGGAGCCGAGGGGGACGGGGCCTGTATCCAGTTGGTGCTCAGTGCGTCATGGGCTTTGACATGGTCACTTCTTAGGGTCATTTCTCTGCTCCTTTGTCCTTGTCCTTCAATAGCACCTGTCCTATGATTACAGCAGGGCCTATGATTACAGGGACTCAGACCCCATCTGGGCCTGTCCTGTCTCCAGGATGTGGGTGGAGGCTCGGCGTCCAGGTCACCCCAGGCACAGTTAGGGCCTCGGTCCTCATACTCTGTGTGTATATATTTTACTTGTTTGGTTTAATTACTTTATGCCTGTTCTTTTTCATGTTTTGAGATCAGGCCTTATGTTCTCTGTGTGTCCCTGTCTCTAATAGCAACAGGAGGCATCCATCATTGTCCCCACAAGACACAGGTGGCCCCTAAACACAGGAGTATCTGGTGGTAGAGATGATTTTGCCGACTCATTTAGCCTGGGGTCTCCTGTTTTCTGCGTGGGGCTGGGGGTGGGGGCAGGAGAGAGCAGCACTTGGGAGAGAAGCAGAGGGGGCATTGTTGTCACTATGAGTGGAGGTGTGTGTGGCATGTGGCCTGAGCCTGGGAACCTGCTATTATGACATGGAGACCGGGCTCTTCCATGAGTCCTGTGTCCATAGTCACTCGCTAGGGAGGAAGTTTGAGGACCTCTAACATGACAGTGGACCTCGTCCTGCCTCTGGGAGCCCAGGGAGCCTGGGGAGGGCCTGACTGAGCAGGAGAAAGGGCAGCTCTGGTCTCCTGTGCTCAGCCCTGTGGCCACACGGGGGCGCTGCCGCGCTGTTCCGGATTCTGGTGGAGCCGCCAGGACGGGGCGGGGCTGAGGTGGGCAGAGTTGGGGGTCCTGGAGGGCGACGTCCTGGGGGTGACATGCTCTGTGAGGAGTCACAGAAGCTGGGCTCAGAGGAGAGTAGGCTCCGGAGCCTGTCCTAGATGTGAGGTTTCCAGCTTTTCCCTGGGGCCCCTCTCTCCAGTCCCTTCATGGCAAAATCTGGGAAAAGCAGATAGTAGATCACTTTTTCTTTCTACAACCTATAACTTTGTTAACGGTATTTTAAAGGATACTGGTAAATTTACAGAAAAGTTGCGAAGGTAGTAGAGTTGCTATATAACCCACATCACTTCCAAACTGTTAACATCTCACACGACTACTAAGTCATTTGTGAAGCTAAAGAAACGATGTTGACGCAGTTTCAATAAACTCCACACTTTATTTGGGTTTCTTTAATGTTTCCTATTGTCCTTTTTATGCTCTGACATCCCATCCTAGACACCACATGAAGTCCTAGACCCACCTGGTGTCCTTAACATGCCTCTGGCTCACAGTTTCTCAGACATGCCTGCATTTGACGACACAGTGAGGAGCTGCTTGAGAGTGATGGCTCAGTTTAAGGTCTTTGCCCGGGGCCGGTGGGTTTGGGGGAAGAGACCATAGAGGTGACGGTTGTTCAGTGCATCAAGTTTACAAATATGCAATTTTTCCATTTATTTAGTAGTTACTGTTGTATTTGGAAGGATGTCACCATAGGCAGCTCACACTAGTGGGTGTTTTGCTGTAAACACTTACTTCCATACAGGGTTTTTTTCCTAATACAAGTTTTCAAACAAGTTGGGTAAATAGCTGGACTATGTAGACTGTCTATGATTGTCTTTATTTTTTTTTTTTTTTCCAGGTTCATAATTTATTGTACAAATTATCACATAATGAGTTGACACTAGCTTCTCCAGGCATGGGAACTGAACAGATGGGATGCGTTTAGAATCCCTTTATGTTGCTTTCACAGCTGGGGTTTTTTTAGACCTTAACTTGAAGTATAAGACCAGCAAAGCAATTCCTCCATATGTGGCCAGCACACAATTCATTCTACCTGTGAGAGTGTAAGAGTTGAAGTATTTTTTAATGCCAGTGAACTGGAACTGGGCATCACTTTCTGCACCTGCCATGATTTCAATCCTTGCAGCAGGAACGAACCCCTCAGACAGTGTCCTTCAAAGTGCGCAAAGCGGCCGCTCCTGTCTATGATTGTCTTTAAAAGAAACTTTCAAAAATCTTCCCTAGTATCTGGTTTTGGGTAGGCTACCTGGCTCACTGTAGGGTTATGGTGAGTGTGTGTGTGTTTATGTATATTCTTGAACGTAAAATTTTCTTTTGTGTGCACGTTGTCTTTGGAAGGAAGACTTGTGAAACATTTCACACGGCATGTCTGTCACATGATGAACCTTCACATCATCATCTCCCACGGCCCTTGGCTTCCCTTATGGTTCTCTCCTGGCGGTGTCCACGCTGTGGCGTTCAGACAAATATACAATGGTGTGGACACCATAATGTGTCCTACAGACTAGATTCACTGCCCTCGATATCTTCTGTGCTGCAAGGAAACAAAAGCAAAAATAGGCCAGCGGAACCACATCAAATTAACAAATTCTTTCTCAGTGAAGGAAACTGTCATTAAATGTAAACACATCATACTGAGTGGAAGAAAATATTTGCACATCATACATCCAAATTACATAAATAACACACATAACAACCAGAACAATTAACCCAATCAAAACATGGGGAGGGGAGCTAAGTAGAAACATCTCCAAAGAAGATGCATATGACACATGCATCTTCCACAGGCACGTGGAAAATGCACATCTCACAATACCAGGGGATGCAGATCAGAACAATGAGACACCACCTCACACCAAAACAAGTGTTGGCAAGGGTGTGGGGAAAAGAACCCTCATACATTGGTGGGAATTGGTCCAGCCCTACCAGCCCGGTGGAGAAAAGTTTGGAGTTTCCTTAAAGTATTAACATATACATCTGCCAGGTGACCCAGATTTCCACTCCCTGGTATTTATCCAAAGAATGTAAAAACTAATTTGAAGGGCTATATGAGCTCTGTCTTCAGCTCCTGTGAACAATGTTCCAATAGCTAAATTATGGAAACAACCAATGTGCTTAACAATAGATGAGTGTGTAACAGTGTGGTCCCCAGGAGAAGGGGAGGTTCCAAGTTCCCTGCCGCACCCAAGGGAGGGAGGAGCTGAGCAGGGAGGAGAAGCAGTAGCAAAGAATATGTGGTATAATATACACAATGGACTGCTACTAGCTGTGAAAAAAGATGAAATCTTGAATTTACAACACTGTGTATGGAACTGGAAGAAATCACACTAAGTGAAATCAGGAGAACAACAAATACTAGATGATATTCATATGTGTGATATAAAGAAACAATGCAAAGGGGGAGATAATACCAAGTCAAACCCTTGGAGTCTGGCTGCAGAACGAGGCTACCAGAGTTGGGTGAGACTAGGCAGTAGAAGGAGTAAGAAGGTCCGGAGGACTAGGGCTGGAGATTTGGGTACTTTGAAGGTGGGGGTGGTGAGGTAACACCTGAAGAGGTGTGAACCTGTCCCTCTGAGTGATGTACAGGGTGTAAATGAATCTTACCTCAAAAAATACAATAATAAAACGAAACTCTTTAATCAAGAGAAAAAATAAATTGTCTCCTCCATCCATCACTGACCTCAGGACTTTGCCTTCTCCTCCTCACTGTCATGCAGGGTGAGGGGCTGGTTTCCCACAAGGGCAGAGGCAGGAGGTGCAGGGACTCCTGGGGCTGCTCAGACACTGCTGAGTAGAGACATTGCAGAGAGGGCGGCTCTGAGGGGGACCAGAAACGGGGTCAGAAAAACTCCAGTGTTGAGGATCTTGTTCCCAGTGTGAGAGGAATGAGTGTGTGTGTGTGTGACAGGAGAGACAGGCCACACCATATAAGACAGTGGGGGACAATTACACATCAAGCAGGTTTGGAGCAGGACTTGAGGCAGCAGAGGATCTGGAGACAGGAGGGGGTTTTGGACTCTTCCCCTGGTTAGATGTAAGGAGCCTGGGTGGGGCCCTGCTGGGCTGTGGGGGCAGCTCCCCCTGACAGCTCCCTCTCTCCTCCTCTAATGCTCACTCCAGGTTCATCTCCATTGGGGTCAGAGAGCTCCAGCCAGGCAGCCCCTCTGTTTCCCAGGGGGTCACTGCCTCCATGGGCTGCAGCTACTTTCTCTCTAGACCAGAGCTGGAGGGAGTCACACAGGGGGAGAAAGGAGTGTGTGCCCTGCTGGCCTGACCCAGGGCCAGGATCACCCCAGTTACTGAGCTGAGCCTTTGTCTACAGTCCAGGAAGGGAGGGAGAGATGGAGCAGGGTCTACCTCAGCTCCTGGAGGAAGGTGTAACGTTTGCATGGGTGAAATTATTGTTTCTCATTTCCAGGGTTTTCCTTTCTACCCGGGGTCACCCTCCAAGTACATCAGGGAGAAAATCTCAGATAAACCCAGACTACTGGCCCCACCTCTTTCCCTTCTTTCGTCAGGAAGGATGTGTTCAGCAGGCATGTCCTAGAACTGATGGTCCACACTGGAATGATGTATGGAAAAAGACGTTGGATTATGGTATTAGCTTCTGGGATTTGAGGTAAGATTTTTCTTTTTACTGTAAAATTTATTTTGCTTTTGTTGTCACTATAATGATGTGCAAACTGAAAAATACTGGGAGTGAGAGAAAGTGTTGAATTGAGTTTTCAGAGTGCAGATGAAAAAGGGAACAAGAAGCCAACAATGAACATGAGACAGACATTTGCACAGTGTCCAGTTTAACCCATGTATGATCCCCTTAACCCAAGACTATGACCAATTTTGATCTCTGTTCAAACAGAATCAGGATGCTTTTTTCACATAATCGCCCTTGACATATCTGAAATCCCTGCGTGCATAAGCAGGGCAAATCCCAACAAAACACATGGTTGTTTGTAGTGTGTTGGTTGGTGTGAAAGTCCGAACCCGCCATTACCAGAAACAAGAGTCCTCCTGAGCTGCTTTTTATGTTACTTTATTGATTAATTAATTCAAATGACATATTTTTAGGGTTCCATCCACCGGGGATTGGGGTTGCGGAGTGAGCAGTCCCAGGACTCTGTGTGTTTGTAACTAAGAGTCCAGCTGAGGAGGTGACAGGTGCCCTGAGCTCCAGGGGGAGCAGGAGGTGACAGGGAGGTGAGTAACCCTGAGGAGACAGCGGGGAGGGTCCTGGGTGTGGGTGTGGGGCAGGTCCAGGGCTTGGCGTGGGCAGAAGCTGGAGCTGCTGCAGCGGGTGCTGAGGGGCGTGGGCCACGCCCTGGGCCTGGACTCCAGCCTGTCCCCATAGCACGCGGGTGGGACCCACACAGGGATTCACTCCCTGAGCCTCAGTATCCTCACCTGTGTGAGGTGAGGTTAGGGACGTGGTGAGGGTGGGGAGCTGATGCCTGTGAGTCTCAGCTCAGGGCCTGGCACCTCATGGACACTCAGCCCCTGTCTGTTCTCCTGGCTGCAGGGAAAGGGGGTGGGGGAGAAAATGGAGGTGATGCCAGGCCCTGTGAACCCTCCCTGCCTGGTGTGGGGAACAGAGAAGGCAGGTGAGGGTCCATGTTGAGAAAGGCCTGAAGTGCCATGGGGAGCAGAGACTGGAGTGGGTGAGCGTGTGGGGGGCCAGGGAGGAGGCTCCTGTGGCCTGACCAGGTTGGTGTGGTCACCTCCACCCTGACTGTCTCTTCTTTCCATTTATTCACCTTCCTCCCCACCTTGCAGCATAGTCATGACCTCGTAGCCACGACTGGACCTTTCTGGCAGAGGGGACCTGCAGCGTCTACCTAGATTCAGGTGCCCCTGGGAGTATCTCTTATGGCCACAGCTTCTGCCAGGCCGGTCACAGCCGAGTCACTCTCAGACCCACCAACAGGACATGTGCTGGCCACACTGTCAGTAGTGACTGCAAGAGGAGACAGCAGCCCCCCTGGTGTGCTTGTGTTCTGATCCCCAATACTAGAGCCCTGGGGTGAAAAATCCAGCTAGGAAGTTGGAGTTTGGGAGTGGCACAAGTAAAAGGGTGTTTTCTTATCTCTAGGACAACCAGGAGGGTGTGGTTTGTAAAGATCTCAAGTACAAATGTCACCCAGTGCTGCAGAAGCTGAAGATTCTAGGTCTCATAAGGTGGGTAACCTCTTGCTGACGTTCTGAACTTCTGACAAATCTGTGGTGACTTGCTCCACTAGGACTAATCAGCAGTATTCTAGAAAGAGAAACTCCTGCATTTTTAACTCAACACTGCATGCAACACTAGCATCTCCATCACTCCTGGAAAATGTTGGTAAATATGATTGGTGGATGCAGATGACTTCCCTGCTAAAACTCTAGCATCAGAAGACTTCTCAGTTGCTCGACCTGCAGGACAGAGGAACTTCAGGGTTTCTCCGAGATGTCGCACATACCCCAAGATCATCTTGAGATTTCTGGGGGTGAAGGATGCATCATTGGACAGATAAGGAAAAGGACACAATAGCCCTGAGGAGATAGGGCTTTACATGAGCACATGAAAACACCATGTTATTTCTAGAGTATGTGTGACCTGGTATATTCATCAGGTATTGTTTGGCTGAAGATGGCAAATCTAACTCAGTCTTGTCAACATGGGGATTCACTTACTTATTGAATAAACCAAAGGCAAAGCAGGGGTGCAGGTGCCCCTGCACAGAGCCCGTGGCCCCTTTTCCTCCTGCTGGACGCTAGGACCAGCCTGTCCAGGGAGGACTGTCCTGGGCCAGAGTGGCCCTGATGGGGGCTGGCTCTGGGTCAGTATCAAGAAGCCACTTGGCTCTGCTTTCAGCCCTGCCCTCAGTGTCCTGCTGTCGGTTCCAGAAATGACCCCAAGTCTTCTGTCTCCCTCATCCGATTTCCTCAACTTGTCAGGGAGGAGGGTCTGTGCATCAAAGGCCCTTCCAAGGTGACAGCAGGAGGGTCTCTCAGGCTTGGGGACCCTCTGACCCTGACAGGGGGTGTGTAGGGGGTCACCGATCACTGACCTTTCTTTCCTTCAGGTGGAAGGGAGTGCAGTTTCTAGTCCCATAGCTGAGTCCTCAATATGCTCACATGACTTAATACCCCCCCCCACCCGTGTACTTAGGATAAAACTGTGCTTGGAGAAATTATG